AATTTACAGGCATCTAATGACATAATCTCACACCACATGGAGTAAAAATTAATAGAAATGCAAGGGGAAATTGATAAGCCTACCATTGTAGTGGGAAATGTCAACAAATCTCTCACTTATTGATATGTCAAGAAAATAAAAATAATATTCAATATATTATTTAAACATAATTAATAAGCTTGATTTGCCAGTCATCTATTAAGAATCCTACACCCATTCACATTCTTCTCAAGCCACACTGGACACTTACAAAATCTGGATGTACAATGGATCGGAAAGCAAATCTCAGTGAATTTTGGAGAAATGATATCATAATAACTAAATTATCTTGTCACAAGTTAATTAAGAATTCAATTAACAAAAAAGGTAAAATTTGCCTATGCATGTAGAAATTTAAAAACTTACTTCCAAGTAATTCTAAGACAAAGAACTCCCAATGGAAAAATTTTTAATATCTAATATTGAAAAATAAAAAATATCATTTGTCAAAACTCAGGGAATGCAGCTCCTTTGAAGGAAATTATACTACCAATTTTTTTGTAAATTAAAAAGTCTGTCAACATAAAACGATAGAGTATAGTAGGATAAGTATAATAAAATAGCAAACAAATCCAGAATCTCAACCAACCCCAAAACAGACTATGTTTAAAACATGAGTAAAATTCAGATGACCTTGAACGACATGAATTTGAACTGTGCAGATCCACTTACACACAGATTTTCTTTTACCTCTGTCCCCCTCGAGACAGCAGGACCAACCCTCCCTCTTCCTCCTCCTCCTGAGCCTACTCAGCATGAAGATGATGAGGATGAAGACCTTTATGATGATCCATTTCCAGTTAATAGACAGCAAATATATTTTCTCTTCCTCATGATTTTCTTAACATTTTCTTTTCTCTAGCTTATTTTATTGTAAAAATACACTACATAATTCACACAACACAGAAAATATATGTTAATTGACTGTCTGTGTTATCAGTAAGGCTTCCAGTCAACAGTAGGCTATTAGTACTTAAGTTCTGATGGAGTCAGAAGCTATAAACAAATTTTCAACTGTGCGGGAAGTTGGCACCCCTAACCATCCCCCAAACACTGTTCAAGGGTAAACTGTACATAAAACTCCAGAAAGATTGAGCTGGATAGAGCTAGAGAAAAGAAGACAGCCATAGCAAAACATATAAGGAATGAAAAAGGGGTACAAAGCTATGAATACAGTAGAAACGTAAAAGATAGCAAAAGAATATGAACAAATTTATGCCAATAAATTTGAAGATTTCAATATATGGCTAGAAAAATCCACAACAAATTAACTCAAAGTAGAAAATTTGAATGAATTTATAATCATTAAAAAATTGAATCAGTAGTCAAAATGTTCCCACAATGTAAATATCATGCCCAGACAGTTTTGCAGACAGGTTTTACCAAACATTTATGAACAGATCATTCTAATGTTACACACAAAAAAAGAAATAGTCTATAGCTCATGGGACTAGTGTAACCTCAATACTACCGCTTGATAGGAACAGTAAAAGAGAGAGAGAGAGAGAGGGAGGGAGGGAGGGAGGGAGGGAAGGAAGGAAGGAAGGAGGGAGGGAGGGAGGGAGGGAGGGAGGGAAGAAAGGAAGGAAGGAAGGAAGGAAGGAAGGAAGGAAGGAAGGAAGGAAGGAAGGAAGGAAGGAAGGAAGGAAGGAAGGAAGGAAGGAAGGAAAAATTACAGGCTAATGTCACTGGCAACACAGATGTAAAATTCTACACAAAGTATTAGCAAACAGAATCTAGCAATGTAAAAACAAATCACCAAGATATTTTAAACCTAGAATGCAAAGTTACTATGGTAGAAGCTCTATTTAAGATTTATGTCATTTAGGTGAACTGATTAAATAAAAAATAACATAATCTTAATAGATGCATAAATTACATTTAATTAAAGTCAATAACCGTTTGTAGTTTTTAAAAAGTAAACTAGGAAGAGAATGTGCTCCTCCATAAAGGGTATCTATAAAAGAATGTACAGTAAACATTATGCTCAATAGTGAAATATTAGAACCATTCCCTTTAAAATCAGAAATAAGACAGGGATGCCATTACCACTTCTATTTTACCTTGTACTAGAAAATCCTATGAACACAATAAAGCAAGAAAAAAATAAATAAAAGATCATGTTCAACTTTGAACTTATAGCATTACCTGACTTGAAGTGAGTATTTTTAACCTTATTAATAGGTACACATGAATTGGTAGGAATTAACTATTTGCCTGTATAGAATTTAGCTTTATCTAAACAGGAAGAGGAAGTAAAATGGCAAATAAACATAAAAAAAACTCAACCTCATAACTAATTGAGCAAAATGAAAATCACAACGGAGATAATATATCAAGTGTACTCAATGATCAAAAGTGGGAAAGTGAGAAAAACACCCATGATAAGGATGGGGAGTAGGAGAACGCTCGTACACTAGTGGAGGGAAAACAACTGGCATTGTCTGGTAGAGGGGAACATACTGCATGTGTTACTCCTATGTAGATATCCCGAAAAATCTCCCGAACATGTGCACCAGGTGACATACAACAGCTTTCACAGCGGCACTGCTTTTAGTAGCAAATTTTCTTTTAAAACACCCAAACCAGAAAGAGCCCAAATGTCCATCCACAGCTAACTGGATAAACATGTGCATAAATGTAATAATATATATTAGAGAAAATGAATGAGTTGCAGTTATACATCAACAGGGATAAACAATGAAAACATGTACAAAATAGGTTAAATAAATATTCTTCATATATTTCTTATGTTTTAGAAATACAGACACATGATAAAACTACTAAGCAAGGAAATTGTTAAAATAAATTCACGACAGTGGTTTCCTCTGTTATATAGGGAGGGACCACATCAACTTCTTCCTAGCAATACTCTATTCTTTAAGCTGTACCTTAATATCAACAGAATATGCTACCTCAGGTGGTACTGAATTTCCAGCCACAGAAGTTTGCTTTGTTTGAAGAAATAATGTCACTCAGGTGAGACATTTAGAGATAGAGAACACATATATCACATAGGGAATTGGAGGTGATTATCCCTACAAGGATCTTGTAACTCTAAAATTTCATAATTCCATATCCACCATAGTAAACAACACAGTGTGATACATGTAAAAACAAATAATAATTACAACAAACACTGACTGACTGCTAATGTTGAAAAACACTGCTGGTTGCTAACCAACATTCTTTCTTATTCTTCTCTGCTAGAAGAATCCAATTTTGTTCAGCCATCTAGCCTTCTCCCATGTAACTCAAGGTGGTGTATCCTAGCTTGAGGGACATCTTTTACTTAATCTAAACTAATCCTGTACTCCACTGGTATAGAGTTTTAACATCTGGCCCTGTTCTGGCCAAAGAGACATGAAATAAGGTGAGGGATGTCTAAGAAATGTTTCCTTGCCCCTAAACAGGAGACCCACAAATAGATATTCTTTCTTGATGTTGTCGTGCACAGATGTGACATCTAGAACGCTACTGCCATGATGTCGTCAGGAGAAAGACTGGCTTCAAAACTAAGCCAATTGATCCATGATGACAACACTGAGGCAAGGAATTAAAGCTGGAGTCTTACTTCTTGACTTGTTGGTAAGTAATATGTCATCTTATCATATATATTTTCATGTTGTTCATATTTTCCCACTGAAGCCATATTAACTGACACACTTACCACGTGCATAGGATTTCCTCATTTAATCTTTACAGCAATTCCAGGAGCAAACTACCATGATGATATCCATTTGATAGTCAATAAAAATAAAATTTAGAGAATGAAAATAAGTTGCTCAAAGTCACACATATACCAAGAGGCAAATTCTGGGGTGTCTGATTTCAAAACCCATGCTAATAACCTACACATTGTCCTTTCTATGATGCATATTATTACCTGGCATTCAGCAAGCATTCCCACCCCTGAGGGTCCCTCTGTATCACAGAGCTGGTTTCTCAAATTCCCCTGCAGCTGAAGTTCTAAATTCAATTCAGCTTCTGCCAATAAGATAAACTCATGTGGAACTTAAAAACCAAAAGGGAAATAAAGGGCATCTACTTGTGGCTGTGAGGGCTGCAAAGGAAATCCCAGTAGACATGAATGTGCAATGAAGCCCACGTTCCAGTAGCTTGTCACAAACTTCCAAAGCATTTCAGAAGCATTTTGATTACTCTAATTATCTCTTGCTCTGTTTTCACTTTTCACTTCACAATATTTTGGGTACTCCAACAAACACAAAAGCTAAGGCAGGTAAACCCATCAAAAGGGTTTATATGCCTGCAGATTAAAAAACAACTATATAAAACACCAGACAGTCATTTACAAAACTTTTTGTATTAACAGTTATGATATTGGTACTAGTCTGCTTTATCTAAGCATGACTACTAAAGCAGTATTTAACATTTTTTAAGCGATCATATGTACTTAGTGAAATGTGAAAACAGCAACTAACTAACACACTAAAAAAGCCAATACAACAGAAGACGACAGTCACCCTTTAGACTTTTGGTATTTTCATACAGGCTGTAAAGCATATTGGTCTTCTATTTAGATATTTTTATATATTATATAAGGATATGCATAATGATAGGAATTAATTACTGGCTGGCAAAAAAATGGCCACAGTGAAAGGGTCCACAAAAATTCACCTCTCCCCACAGGTCTCAGAGTCCACTCCTTTTTTCTCCTTCTACTCCTTCCTATTTTCCTGATTGCTGGATTATAGAATTTACAGTGGAAATGACAGAGTGAAACACTAGATAGATGAAGTAAGAAGTGGTAGAAATTGACAAGAGCTAAGCAAAGTACCAGTTTATGGAGTTAACTGACAACCTGGCAAATGAAAATTTTGTGCTCTGTTGCTCAAAACAGAATTTTTCTTTATGAACAATTTTGATTGTAGAGCATGTGGTCACACATCTGACTTAAAAGATATCATTTGGAGTATTTCAAAATAGATCTTGAAACGAACCTCAATTGGCTCTTCACCGCCTTTCACTTGACTTTCCCCTATTTCTCCGTTCTCATAGTTGCTGCTCTTCTCAACCCATAGCTCAGACTTCTCCACTGTCAGTCGAAGCTGGTCTAGATCTGCCTTGATTTGCTTGTAGTTATCTACATCTTGATTAGACACCAGTAATTGTACCTAAAACAGAACAATTTCAATCTCTTAGTTGAAGTTCACTATTTCTAGAACATTTATGAATATTTTAGATGTATATTGACTATGAAAACCTACCTGGAAGTAAGTGTGAACTTTTAACCAGTATTTTCACATATTAGAATTTTTTAAGTGAGCCCTAGCAAAACTTTTCAAAGTGATTTAATATTAAAAGACACCCTAACTTTATTTTCACTGCTGAAGTTAATTTTTCTGAGACTCTATCTGTTTGAGAAGAGACAGAAACAAAAATAAGTGGGAGAAAATATCAATAGACACAATCTAAACCTCATCATACAAGTTTTTATTTTCTTATAATTTTCATGTATTATATGACATATACATATATGTATTAATATAGAACTACCCTTTTATTTCATATTCTTTTAACATATTCCTGTAAAACTGCCTAAATGATCAATATCCTATTATGTTAAATAAATAGTGAAACATATGTAAGCACTTAAGTATTACTAATTAATAATCTCAAGATTGATGTCTTATTCAAAGACCACAGAGAAAAAGATTAGATCCATACCAGTTCCTTTCTTTTGGATTTATGCAGTTTTCAATCACAAAATTATTATTTCAGGGCTATTGGTGCTCTTACCCAAATTCATAAGTAAAATTTAAGGATAAAATAATAGCAGTGGTAACAAAATTCCTCACGTTATTATCTCCCAATGCCTTCCCAAATCTTGGTGCCTTTCATTTGTTTTAAAGATATTAACTAAAAAATCACTTGTGGGGAATGCCTTCTAAATAGATCACGTCCTGGCATAGACAAGGCCATGTCTCTGTTTAAAAATAGAAAGTATCTCCAGGAAAATCCACACAGTGTCATTACCTCTGCAGCCATGAAGTCAGGTTGGATGTTATTAACACTTTCAGAGCTTTTACCTTGAATGCATTGAGGGCCCTTCAATCTTACCTGCTTAAATGCCTGTAAAACCTCCGCCCTCTGGCTGAAGTGCTTAAACAGCAGCTGCAGGGCCCCAGACAGCAAAGGCGGGTAGTCGTGCATGATCAGATGAATGAGGACCCGTAAAAATGTCCTGCCTCCTTCATCATCAAGTTGAACTGGGTTTTTTTCCTTTCTATAGAACCAAAAATATTTCTAAAGTGACTCATATTTATATAACATCTACACTTCAGTATTAGAATTGTATACATATTCTCAGAAGTATATCATTTGTTTTTCCAAATTAGGAAGTGAACAGGAAAAGATTTTCTTTGTTTTCCTCATGTAACTGATGAGGAAACAATCACAAAGAAAAGCTTGTGTCTGTCCATGAAAGCAGGGGTGATCGAACCTCCTGGTTTATCCAAGACTCACGGTTCCTAGGCAAACTGGGATGAGTTGGTCACCTCAGCATAGACAAAAAATGGGCATCTGCGTCAATCCAAAAGCATTTATGGGAGGAGCTGTGCTAGGCTGGATGTACACTAGTGACTGATTTCCCCAGGGGCCCTACAAGACCCCTACATGACAGGTGGGGAGGAGTGGGGAAGGCCAGCTCGCATGTGCGTGAACCATCACCACAGCAGCCACGGGTGTGGCGTAGGAGGATTCTGGGTGAGGTTCCACTGAAACAGAAGGTCCGTCTATTTCAAGGTGAAATCATACTGGTTCATTCTCCTAGGGAATAATGAAACTCTTCAATAGGAAAACACAACAACAAAACTAAACTAAATGTTCACTAGAGATAAAAATCCTTTTTTGGTGCTCCTAATTCTTAATTCCTCTTTGTCTTTCCAATGACAACAACACAAACTGCAACAAGATGCTTAGTGTAGTCGCCCCCACTACCCTCGCCAACTCTATCTGTGGTTTTACTTTCTGTGGTTTCAGTTGCCCATGGTCAACCATGGTCCTAAAATATGAAATGGAAAACTTCAGAAATACATAATTCACGAGTTCTAAATTTTGTGCCATCCTGCCTGTCCCATTTGGGACATGAATCACCCCTTCGCCAGCATCTCCACGCTGTACGTGTTCCCCCCTCATTAGTCGCTTAGTAGCTGTCTCAGTCATCAGGTTACTGTCTCAGGGTCACAGTGCTTGTTCAAGTAACCCTTATTTTACTTAATAATGGTCCCGAAGTGCAAGAGTGGTGATGCTGGCGTATTGTTATAATTATTTTATTATTAGTTATGTTGTTAATCTCTTAGTATGCCTAATTTATATATTAAATTTTATCATAAGTCTGCATATATATACAAAAACACAGTGTATACAGGGTTTGGTACTAGCTGTGGTTTCAGGCATCCACTGGGGGTCTTGGAATGTATCCCTAGCAGATAAGGAAAGACTACTGTACAGATTGTTTTTAGGTTCTCATGTCAGGTCTGTAATAAAAATGAGCACCAGAAGCTTAATAATTTGTAGCTTAAATGTTTTAATTTTTCTTTTTGATTGCTATTAATTTCATTTCTGAAGAAGAAAGAAACAATATTAAAACAATAAATGGCAGGATTCCTGATGGCAAAGGAGGCTAGTCATGTCAAAGGTGTCTTGTTTTATTTAATCATGGGTATTTCCAACTGGCAAAAACTAGCTTTATTTCTCACATATAAAGTTAATGATAATAACATTAAAGAAGTTACTTTCTTGCCTCAAATATCTAAGATTCAGGGAAGCAATGTTTTACAAGATGCGGTGATATTTATACCAGGGGAGTTAAAGGGCATTCTTGGGCTGTCATTATTTGAGGAAAGAAAAGCAAAGAATTCAGAGGAAAGTTCAATACACTGATCTCATCTCTCTTGTCCTTTTTTTTTTTACCTGACCTAAAGAAAAGCTATGCTTTCTCATCTAGAGTAAATTAGCAGCTTCATTTCTGGCAGAAATTATGTTAGCAACAATAGAGGGTCTAAAAATAAATAGATATACAGTGAGCAATATCAAAGTATCAACAGAATTCTAAGTAAAATCTTATTCACAAGTAAGATAAAGATATATAAATGTTACTATACCTTCCCGCAAACATAGTTTCTGCCTGAGCTGCAATTTCATCTATATCAGGAACAATAGCTGCAAAAATAAATGGTAAAATCTCTTCTTTATCCTATTTTAATTAGGAGCCATAATAGTCATATTAATACCAATTGTTGTGAAAATATTTTTGTCTTAATTTCTTTATTCTCCCAAAAGTCAATTAACACTAATAATCTGATTTTAAAATGGGCAAAAGATCTGAATAGACATTTCTCAAAAGAAAACATACAAATGGCAAACAGGTTGATGAAAAGGTGTTCAACATCACTGATCATCAGAGAAATACAAATCAAAACTACAATGAGATATCATCTCACCCCAGTTAAAATGGCTTTTATGCAAAAAACAGGCAATAATAAATGCTGGTGAGAATTTGGAAACAAGGGAACCCTCGTACACTGTTGGTGGGAAGCTAAATTAGTACAACTGCTATGGAGAACAGTTTGGTGGTTTCTCAAAAACACCTAAAAATTGATCCAGTAATTCCACTGCTAGGCGTATATGCAAAAGAAAGGAAATTTGTATAACAAAGAGATATCTGCATTCCCATGTTTACTGAGGTGCTATTTACAATAGCTAAGATTTGGAATCAACCTAAGTGTCCATCAACAGACAAATGGATAAAGAATTGTGGTAGACAGACACAATGAAGTGCTATTCAGCCATTAAAAAAAAAAAAAAAGAATGAGATCCTGTCATCTGCAACAACATGGATGGAACTGGAGGTCATTTTATTAAATGAAATTAGCCAGGCACAGAAAGACAAACTTCTCATATTCTCACTCATTTGTGGGAGCTAAAAATTAAAACAACTGAACTCATGGAGATAGAGAGTAGAATAATAGTTACTAGAGGCTGGGAAAGGTACTGGGGTGGGTGAAGTGGGGATGGTTAACGGTTATAAAAATATAGTATGATAGAATGAATAAGATCTAGTATACAGAGTGACTATAGTCAATAATAATTTGTTGTACATTTTTAATAACTAAAAGACTATAATTAGATTATTTGTAACACAAAAGATGAATGCTTGAGGTGATGATAAATGCTTGAGGTGATGATAAATGAGGTAACCTCATTTATCCTGATATGATTATTACACATTGTATACCTGTATCAAAATACTCCATATACCCCACAAATATATATATCAACTATATACCCACAAAAATTAAAAATTAAAAAAATTTAAGTCAATTGACAGTTTGAAAAAAATCACAATATAGTTCCACTAAGACATCAATGTAATTTTTTAATGTAAACTATGTTTTAAACTAATGTATTGCTGTAATCAAAAATATGTTTAAAAGATCAGAAAGCACCAGTTACAAAGGTGCCTCTTATCTGGAGAAGTGTGTGTGTATATATAGATCATATATACACATATATGCACATACTTACATATAATTTAAATGAGTGATAACATGGGAGGATAATCAAGGAATCAAAATATACATACAATGAGCCTTGTTATTATATGGTTATTTCCAAACACCATGGTCTTTTTACCTAAGCTTACTAGTACTAAAATTCCATCCGTTTTTCTTGTGGGAAGGGCATTTTTTTTTTTTTCTATGTGAACCAATCATGATTCCTTACTGTCCCACACCACTAACATTTTGAAGATATCCTTCCTAAGATAACATGGGGTTTTTCATTTGTTTGTTTGTTTGTTATTGAAACAGGGTCTCGCTCTGTTGCCCAGGCTGGGGTACGGTGGCACAACTTCAACTCACAGCAGCCTCGACCTTCCAGGCTCAAGCAATCCTCCTGCCTCAGTCTCCTGAGTAGCTGGGACCAAAGACATGTGCCTCCAGTACTGGCTACTTTTTTTGTATTTTTTTGTAGAGATGGGGTTTCGCCAGGTTGCCCAGTCTGGTCTCAAACTCCTGGGCTCAACCAATCCACCCCCTCAGTCTCCCAAAGTGTTGGGATTACAGGTGTGAGCCACCATACCTAGCCAAGGTAACATGTTTAAATGATAAAATACACCACTTATTTGTCATCTCCAAAGCATAAAAAGAAACACAGTAAGATATAAAAATGGAAAAACAATTCTCCCTGAAAGGTATCCCTTACTGGTACAAAAAAAGGAAAGAGATCAAGTAAATTAGAGAGAAAGGGTTTTCTGGGGTGCCCCTAGACTTTCCCTCTGGTACTTTACTAACACTTAAAGCTCGTGTTTCCAGAAGCCTGGCCTCTGGGAGTCAATGATTTTTATGCTACTGTCAATGCAACCGCCAGCAAGACTTTCTGGTTCTGCCATATCATTCCTGGAAATAGCCCTTTGGGGTTCTACACTTCTGAGAAGCAGAAAAACACCATTGCAAACGTGCCAGGAGAGAAGTCTTGCTTAGGCATGTTCAAGTCCTTCTGCAGAGGTGTGCTGCCTTTTGATGGGACTAATGATTCAGACAGCAGGACAGTTGGTCTAGTATCCATTTTAACTACATGCTTGTAATCACTGAATCATTCCTAACTGATTGATGGACGAAGAATAGGGGAGAGTTCCTAACGGCACATTGGTGGCAGTTAGAAGGAAGTTTCACATCTGTGTACAAATTCTATTCTCAGGAAAAGAATCCCATTAGCTGGCTAAATCTTCAATAAGACATACTTTTCAGCCTACAATGACTTGGCCTGACCTGTCCAAAAAAATGGTAATTTAATATTTCTTAGTTTTTCTAAAGTCCTTTCAATAGTCACAAAATTTTTACAATAATATTTGTGCTCTTTTGTTGTTATGCTCCAATGCTCAGAGATAAATTAGCTGCATTTTTACACTTTTTAAATATTAAAATTGAAATATAGCTCCAGTTTATAACCATACAAAGTAAATTTTAAAAAAAAATCCACACACACAAAATGATACCAACAACCACATTCAGGTCTTTGGGGAATGCCATGTCTTTATTCTTGGATCCGGCAATGGCTTCTCTTCAAAACACCTGTCCTGATAACTACATTTCACACTGCTCTTTGATCCTGGCAGAAAAACTTCTCTTGGGTTTTCACCAAAACATCATGATGCTGGAAAGATTTGGACTCTGGAGCTGGAGAGACCTCAGAGAGAATCCTTGTGCCTCTACCTTCAGGACCTTTGGCAAGTAACTTAACCTTTCTGACCTTGGTTTTCTCCTCTGTAAAATGACACAATGAACAGTGCATCTATCTTATAGAGTCCTGAAGATTACAAAGGAAAAGGCGTTCATAGGAGTTAGCGACAAACAACAGCAAACACCTTCCACACCATTCTCAGAGAGTTATTTCATAATCTGTCTCAGTTCTTTGATGTCATTAGTGGAGATTATATCTACATTTTTGTCTCGTAAAAATATGATGAAGCTGGAAACCATCATTCTCAGCAAACTAACACAGGAACAGAAAACCAAACACTACATGTTCTCATTCATAAGTGGGAGCTGAACAATGAGAACAAATGGACACAGGGAGGGGAACATCACACACCAGGGCCTGTCAGGGGGTGGGGGGCAAGAGGAGGGATAGCATTAGGAGAAATACCAAATGTACATGACGGGTTGATGGATGCAGAAAACCAGCATGACACGTCTATACCTATGTAATGAACCTGCACGTTCTGCACGTGTATCCCAGAACTTAAATTATAATAAAAAAAATAAAAGCACAAAAAATATAATCATGTTTTAAAATACGATAGGTACTTTCAAGTTCTCAGAAGAACAAAATACAAAGAATAAATATTGTCACAAAGAGATACCTGACGGTAGTAAAGTATCTGGAGATCCATTGGCAGATGTCTCCGCATTGTCATTGTCCTCTCCAAACTCCTTCTTATATATCGACAGCATATATGAGATCCTATAATCTAGTCTGACACTCAGGATAAACTATAAGAAAGATTAAGAACAACATAAATTTCTTTCATTAGCATAGTATTTAAAAATGCAATTCACGACACACCAATACCAGTGGAAGTATCAACCTTTCGAAGGAACTAGTTAGAAGATTTTAACACCAGTTGCCACATGCTTGTCAGCCTTCAGACTAAGTAAGGGAAACTCATTTCCACTAGCTAATGTCAGTAAAATCCCTAAGCCATTTTTGGAAAGAACATTTGACTCCCTATGATTGCTCTCTGAATATTCCAGCTAGAGGCACCGTGGGGGTCTGGATGAAGAGATAATGATGATGTCATTTCACTGAACACTTTGCAGAGTGCCACTGTCTCTGGGAGGAGACTGTTGGAGGTGTGACCCTCATTCTTACACAGTAGGGCAAGAATTCAGCTACAACAGTATGACTGTGACTATACCACGATCAGTCCGAAAGCCAGGTTCTAAAAGGACAGTTGAAGTACCAGCATCTATATACTATGGATTTTCCTCACTGGTATTTGCATTTTCTTGGGTTTGGGTTGCTGTCATTGTTCTCATTCATGGATGCATGGACAGAAACTAAGTACCTAGCAAGGCTCTAGACTGTGCTAGGTACCACAGGGAATGCAAACAGGTGAAGCCTACTGCCCTCAAAAAGCCAACAGTCGAGTTGGGGAAAAAAATATAGCACTGTTAGCATAATTAGGAAGCTATTGAGAGCTAAATCATGTGGTCTAAATACAACAGAAATCAAAGAAGAAAAAGCTGAGATGTGCTGCAGATCAAAGGAGAGGTTTTTACATAGGTACCATCTGTCCCTGTCTGCCTGAGATAGGCCCTATTTAACCTTTTGTTTCAGCATAATTATTAATGGTGCCCCTACATTCTCAAAAGTGTCACATTTTTGTGGTCACCCAAGTTTTAGGAAGATTGGCATTTCAAGGCATCATTTAACTTTATCTCTATCCAAACCACCTGTGTCCCATCCCTCCCTCCTCCTACGCCCCTTCTCTCATCCTCTCTCCCATTCTAACAGCACTGGAGTGCCTGCACTTCCACTCTTGGCTCCACACAGGTGCTCACAGTGTCCACTTTACTTTGAATATTCTCCTCCACTTCATAATAATTACATGTTAAGATATCCTCTGTCAGGGCACAGTGACTCATGCCTGTAATCCCAGCTCTTTGGGAGGCTGAGATGGGGGATCGCTTGACCCCAGGAGTTCAAGACCAGCCTGGGCAACGTGGCGAAGCCCCATCTCTACAAAAATACAACAGATTAGCCAGGCATGGTGGTGCACGCCTATAATCCCAGCTACCATGGATGCTGAGGTGGAAGAACATTTGAACCCATGAGGTCAAGGCTACAGTGAGCCAAGACTGTGCCACTGCATTCCTGCCTGGGTAACACAGGAAGATCCTGTCTCCAAAAAAAAAATTCTCCAAGGTCCAGTTTAAATTCTTTTTTAATGCAGCTTTCACTGGTTCCCCAGTCATAACCTGAATCAATCTCCCTCCTTTTCTCCCTCCCTCCCTTTCTCTGTCCTCTGTGTCTCAGTTTCTCTCTCTCTCTCTTTCTCTCTCTCTCTCTTTCTCTCTCTCTCTCTTCTCTCTCTCTCTCTCTCTTCACCACCCCACCTTAGCTAGACTTTTATGCTTTTTATAGAAACTTCCTCCATGTCAGCTGTACTCAGCTGGTTAATTCACCAGACATGTGTTAAACAAGGTATTGAGGAAGGCACCAAGGGCATGAAAAGGTGCCAAGGATCTCAATCGTGCCTTTGAAGAACTTACGGTCTAGAGGGGAAAGCAAACACCAGAGACTCCTAGTAACGTGTGGTGAGGGCTGCAACACATATTGGTTGAACTGATTCTTGGTAGCAAAGGGATGTGCAGAGCAGGAGATAACCCATGGGAAAAGAGGACTGAGAAAGGGTATGGGATTTGGTACCCATGAGCAGAAGGCAGGGGGCAGAGCTGGACTGCAGGTGCTTCACAGGGAAGGGTGTTTAAAATCCTATTTTAAAAAGTAAAGGATAAATCATAAACAAATGAAACACAACTTTCAGTTGATGATGTTTACATGTAGCATTGTATTCCATAAACATAATCAAAATTAAAACTTTCATTCTCTAATATGCCTACTCAGGAAAAACAAGTGGAAAGTAGAAAGAAAGGAGGAAAGTGAAGGATAAAAACAAAGGCAGAGAAAGAGAGTTAAGAGAGGGCCAGGAAGAGAAAGAGAGAGAATGAGAGAGAAATGAAAAGAGAGGGACTGAGAGAGATCTACAAAGTGATGGGGGACCAAAAAAAAAAAAAAAAAAAAAAAGAAGACCCAGGGGAAGAGAGGAGGTGGCACAAGGCACAGGACCTTGAAGTCCTTGTAGCACCAAGGAGTGGGGCTACAAAGAAATTCTCGAAGAGCCATTCCAAGAAAGACACATTCAGAAACAGTATTCAGGCATACGGGCATGGTGAAGCCAGCCCAGACACAGGGACAGAAAAATCAGAGTGAACAGAGGTTCAAGGAGACGCTGCAGAAATGAATCAGCCCCAGACTGCCGAGCCGTAGAAGCTCCATCTCATCATTTTTTAGCTGCTGGAGATTGTTTTTCTAATGCTTCTTTTCTGTAAATGTAGGCTAAAATGAGGTCACATATTTTAGAGCTTGTCCCATGAGTCGGGTGACGGTAAGCTGGGGCTCAGTAGGTCCACGGGTCAGGTGATCGCTACCTTTCTCAGTTTAAGAACAGGAAAACTTTAAACGATTTTTCAGGGTCATGAACACAGCATTGGGAGGCCTGCCAATATTTCTCAGGATTCAGCCTTTGGAATTCCTAGAGGAACTGTGAAACCTTTTATGATTATAAATCTAATTACTTTAAATGAACAACGTACAGACCCTTCCAGGACTACTAACCCACTTCTGGTAGCTCGGTCTATATTAAATTATGATAAAAGACACAGTAAACTGTACCCAGATTCCTAATAGGTACTTGGAAACGTCAAACTCCATTCTGCAAATCTGGAATAAATGCTATAATTAAGGTATCAAAAAAGTTATTTTCAAACTTACAAACTGCTAAGAATTCATAGCTATAGTAATGGGAAGTCTATTCACTAAACCAATGGGCATGGAATAATAATTTATCTCCTTTAAATTCTTAAAATTAGGCATTACACTAGGTTAATTTTTTCTAGTTATTCCTTGTCCTTCAGAAACAAAAACAGAGCGAGATTGTCACATATAAAATACCAAAACCAACGATTAACAATTTTTGTTAATAAGAAATAAAATTTTATTTGTGCTTCTTGCTAAAACAATAAATCTGGATATACAGAATCGTATGTTCAACTCAATTACAAATAGGAAAAGAGCTGGAAATGAATCAATAACTTTGCTTGCTCTGAAATCCTTCTCAAATGAAGGTAAAGTTCAATCAGGGTCAATACTAATTTTTTTTAATACACATGAAAGCAGTTTATCAACCTCAAAGCACCCCACAATTATTAGATATTATCATTAGTATATTAATGGGAAGGGACAAATGTGATTCATATGTTAAATAGTGTCTGTGATATTTCTTACCAGGTTTGTCATTAACTTTAAAAAAATAAAATTATATTGATTGCATTTCAGAATATTTACACAGTGATTTGGAACAAAAAGGGTAAGAAGTTAAACCAATAAGCAAAATCACATCTTTGTCACTTAGCTTCTGTTAGGCAACACACCTGCAAAATCTCAATGATCTTCAGCTTGGTGTCCATCACAGTCACATCCTCATGCTCAGCGGGGCTCCCCTGCTTGCTCGGGTGGATGCTGGGTGGCACATCTGGCACGCTCATGGGGAAGATGGAGCCTCTACTGAGTACCATCTGGGTCATCATCTCTCCCACCCCATGAATGGTTCTCATCACATTGTTTCCTGACATGAGAAAATGCCGTAAGTCAACACACACAACCCCTGGAGAACATGTAACTATAAAATTCAGTTGGTCACAAACACACTGAAAAGCAGCCAGGAAAAGGATTCAGGATAAGACAGAATAGCATCAGCATCATTTGGGCTCTTTCTTTACAGATAAAATTAAGATACTGCAGATATGTTTCAAAATGACAACTTTTCAAAATGGAAGTTTTCCTTTCTCAGAAAATGCTTTCAAATCATGTACCAAAGGTGAGCTGGTTGCTCTAGCATCCAAATCAGGTTCTTCTGTAATACAGTATGTCCTACTAACTGTCATACCAATAGGCCCTTGCTTTTAAAATAACGCAAAAGAAGATTACTAATTGCCAAGATAAAGTTAGTTGCAAGTGGGGATACAAAGATTGCATAAAAACACTTACATGTTGAATTCTAGCATCATAATCCAATCCTCAAACCAATGATTTTTTAGCTTTCCTTTCACAACACTTATAAAAAGAGCTTGTGAGGAGGATTGTTACCTTTATTTTAAGAAGAAACAGTCTCATCTGGGGAAGACATATACATTAGCCAATACACTTCCCATTCCTTCATCCAATTTGAATAGAAAACCATTACTCAAAATCCACAGAAAGCAATAATTTTGAGGTTTGAGGTGATTATGGAAACAAGCTAGTGACAAACATGATCATTTTCAATGAGGGATCATGCTCTTTCCGTCTCTTCCTGAATTTGGCTTCTCCTTTATTTATTTGCTGATAAAATGTCATCATTCGTATCATGCACACGTTCCTTACACTGACCACAAATAGCTGTATCCAAGGATCCTCCTTGACACTATGACAATTTACGTTCTCCAGCCTGACTGCTGTTTCTCACTTCTAAGTTCCTACAAGAAGCAATAAGGATGCAAAAGAATGGCTGTCTCCATTCCTTTCTGAACAGTGGCCTTTGCTTCGTGGGTGTTCATGGAGCTCTGCCTTAAGTTAAGGCCTAAGAATCTGGCTAAGAATTTTCCTTTCCCTCAGTGTCTCAGGGCGTAAACCAAGAGAAGGGGAAATGGAAATAAGATGGGATGAGATTTTTATTAAAAAAAGAAAAAAAAAAACTGTCAGCTCTAAGAGAAGAATGTAAACCGTGGTAATACCTACAGGATCGAAAGGCAAACAAATAAAAAGAAAATATATAAAAGATGACAAGAGAATCTGAATGGTCCAGACCACAATTACCATTAAGCCACTGGTAACAACTATTATCTGTACATTGCTGAAAGGTAAAATGCCTTTGAAAATTCATTATCTTATCTATATATGGAATCAATTTAAGTGTAAGAGGGTAATGCTTCAATAATACATCTTAGAGTGCACAAAGAAGTTAAATTTTTCCTAAAGTGGCATATTCCAGGCAGAAGTTTTCATTTTGAAGGTCTGAGACCTTTTATTACACTGCTAGTTGCATAAGCCAAAAAACACGATAAAATGTATATATAAGGGTAACTTCCAAGTTAGGACAAAATTGAGGCAACAGGATTTGAGTCAGCCCCTCTTTTCTATCAGAATAGCCTTGAGGCAGAATGCTTCATTGTCTGTGGTTCTTAAACAATCACAGCAATTGAGTATTTCCACATCCCTCCCCCTGCTCCTTACATGGACTGCAGGGAGGCACATCTGGTTGTTGGCAATGGTTTTGAGCCATCGATGTTCAACCACTACCTTTATCTGAGACTTGATTCGAGTACGTATACGTGTTTGCCTCCAAGAGATGCTCTCTCACCACTAATACAGAACAGGCTCCTTTGTTATTCTTACTCCTGATTCACACACAAATCCTTGGCACCCACAGTGTCTGCATCTTATTTAGATTTGAATGGAAAATAATAATTTAATCCAAATGATTACTACACAGAAAGTTAGCCCAGACAATTTTTTCCCCCAGATATAGATCCTGTCACCAAGGAATTAAAATCCAGAGGCCAGATCCATAGTAATTTGTAACACATGTCGTCAATGAAATGGGAGGGTTCACTCAGTCATACCACATTCTCAGATGCCTGTGGCACGTGGTCGCCACAAACCTCACTTGACATTTCCATGTACAGCCAGCTCAGAGGCCTCAAATTAAAAATGCTGTATTTTCTGGATTTCCTTGGTGATGATGAGAAGTGCTAAGATTGTGAACTATTACAGCTTGAAAAACATGTAGTCAGACACTACATAAATCACAGCCATGCAAAGCTTCTAGTATCCATTCCTCCACAGAAAAACTTCTAATTCTAAACTGTTGTGATAAATCAGAGGTGATTAATCCTCAACATTGCAAAACAAGAAATTGTACTACTTCTCAACCATAATTAGTTAATATTGACTAGAAAGTATTCAATGAAAAAGCCTACTATACTATAAATTCTCTGAACAACCTAATGCTTACAAATTCAGCTCTTCTGTGTCTTTTACATAAACCCAGCAGCCAGAATTGGCATTTGTGTACAAAGTGTATTGAGATAATTTGAAAATATGGAAGTCATCTTTGCTTAGTACAAAGTAAGAAGAAAGGAAACACTGGGCATGGTGGCTCATGCCTGTAATCCCAGCACTTTGGGAGGCCAAGGCAGGTGGATCACTTGAGGCCAGGAGATGGAGACCAGCGTGACCAACATGGTAAAACCCCGTCTCTGTTAAAAATACAAAAATTAGCCGGGCATGGTGGTGAGTGCCGGTAATTTCAGTTACTCAGGAGGCTGAGGCAGGAGTATTGCTTGAAGCTGGGAGGCAGAGGTTCCAGTGAGCTGAGATTGCACCACCACACTCCAGCCCAGGCAACAGAGCAAGACTTCATCTCAATAAAAATAAAAATAAAAATAAAAAAAGGAAGGGACTGCTTAGAAAGAATGACTGGTCAACTTTTCAGGTTCTTTCATTATATGATTACATAGATATTTTTACTAACCTTAATTCCCTCAAGAAAAAAAATCTAAAAGACAGGTATAGCAAATGCATACTGAGAGTGGTAACTGGGAATGCTTGGGGAATACGTTGCTTTGTTCTTTGATTGTTCCAGTGAGCCAAGTTTCTATCACCCATTTCAGGAAAGTAAAAAGCAATAAGGAATTAACCAACCTAACACGACAGCTGTGCTGACCATAATTTAATTTTGCCCTATTCAGAAATAATTTTATTGTGGTGATCACACTGTTGGTTTCAACAAGCACTAGCAGTTACATGAATTTATAGCAGGTGTAAGAGATTTAACAGAATATTGATTGAAATTTACTTAAGTCGTTGGTATTTACTTTATTTAAAGTTATACTTATTCTTTCTTTTTATTAGAAATGCTTTTCTCTTATGAACATATAAGAAAATGGTAATTTGAATTTTCTTGTTGTTTAGATATCAGACATTTCTGAAACATTCTCAGCATTTATAAGAGATAACAGACACATTTGATTCAGAGTTTTGTGAATAATTGTTCACAGCCATTTAATTGTTCTGTGACTACTAAAATCAGCTCAATGTTCTATGATAATAGAGGCCAAAAATGGATAATCCAAAAACTATTATTTTCCCTGAAACATATTTTTATAGTTGGATTTGAATAAATCCATCAGCTGTTATAATAACTCATCTGAAACCGAATGATGTTCCACCATAAAGACATGACTCTGGAAGTCTTCCTATTTCCCATCCCAGCTTAGCAGCTCCTTTTAAACCTGCCCTTGCTGGAAAATGTCTTTACTTTCTAGAACTAGAGCAGTTTTCTATTTCAAACATTCTCTGGAGCAGTGCTTCCTCCCAGTGGTTAAGGGTCTGGGTTATAAAAAGACTTTTCTGTATGCAAAGAAAACAAAAATATTAGCGTAAGATCAAAGCCTTAATTAATCCACTAACCACAGAGCAGTAGGTAAAATGGTAGCAACCCAGGTTAAGATCAAGATTAAACAGCCGGAGAAAGCAATTTTACCTAACCAGCCCTCCCAATTCCAAGTAAGATCACAGGATTTTGGAAAGCTGGATAGCTAGATAGTTCTACATAGTACATACATGCATGGCTTCTATTCCATGTGCCAAACCTACAGGGAACTTGCTATACCTTTGCCTTGCGTTCTTGTGTCCAGACAGTCACACAACTTGCTCCCTCACTCCTTTCTGATTTGTGGTGCAATGTCACCTCCTTAGGTAGACCTCTTCTGGTCACCCTCTCTGAAGAGCTTCCATCACTCTTAATCCATGCACCCCCTTTAAATTTCGGTCAGGGCATTAACACTCTCTCACATCATATCATATATTTGTCTGGGTGTTTACTGTAGTCCTCCTCTCCAGCAACGTAAAAGAACACAAGTTCCATGAAGACAGGCAGTCTACCTTTTTCCAACATCTGGAATACTGTCTGATGCCCAACTCTCATTTAATAAATGTTTGTCAAATTAATGCATGAATAACAAAGATTGGATAATAAAATGAACTATTAAAAATGAGAATGACTTATTTTAATAAGGTTTATATAAAAAGTTGGATCTCATTAAATTAAAGGTACTTCATCTTTCATCAAGTTGAGTTTTTGCTTACTTTCCTTTATACTTCTCTCTTTCTTCAAAAAGCATACATAATTTCATATTACTTAAAAATGTATTAAAAGGAAGAACTTAATAAAATGGATACCAATGAGATAAGGGAAAATAATGAAAGCTGTCTTTATCAAGGGCTTATCATATTGTATGTACCTTGCTAGACCACAGGACACATACACCTCATTGGAGCCTCACAGCATGGTGGGGGTTGGGAGGCGAATCCCAGTTTACAAAGCCAGGAAGTGGCAGAGTCTCAAGTACAGGTCAACTGATCTCAACATGAATCATGTTTTCCCACACCACGTTGGTTCACTAACAGACTTTACAAAATTCTAAAAATTTTATACTAGAACTCAGAAAGCCCTAATGCAATTACAGAAAGAAAAGATTCCAATTAAAACTGTGTTCTGAAAATGTAGAATTTCTATTAACCATA